AACAAAAAGTAACATTTTATTTGCGAGTAAGAAACGGTAAATACGTTATTTTTCGCGTCGTTTAAACGAGAAATTTAATTTTTATTAGCCACTAGATAGAACGTTATTTCAATCTGTTATTCGTTATTTAACGGGTACGTAAAACTTACCAGCACAGCGTTAATTTTAATAAAATTAATGGTACTTTGTCTACCATAAATATACCTGTGTTGCATAATTCGCAGTAACAGGAGAATTACGTATATCGTAATTTGAAAATGCTGCTGAATTATGCAGTAGAAAGAAAAGAAGCAGGTAAAATCTCTTGCGAAACGGGATTGTTTTTCGAATAAAACTGGCGACATTTAAAATCGTTTAGGAGTTTTTCGAGGCACGGCCAACCTTTTCCACGAGTCGATCAACAGCTAATATAATTTGTATTACGCCGGTAATAAATCAACTTATTATCAGCGATGTATCCTCCGTTATCGATGAATCAATAGTAGATTGCCACATAATGAAGCTCGACAGGAATTAGCGAAAACTGTGAGTAAGATAAAGAAAGCGAGAAGGAGAGAGGAAGCAGTCGAGTACCCGGAAGAAAAGAGAATCGACTCTTGGCTCTGCGATAAATCTTAAATCCTCCTCAAGGATCTTCCGCCTTCTACCGTTAACCAGAACGATTTCGTGCTTGGCTCGGAGTTCTCTTATATTTTACAACTGCCTCTTTTTTTTTTTTACGACCTTTATTTTCCTTCGAATCGCGTGCATCAACCGCAAACTCGCTTTTTTTTTTGCAACAGTTTTGCGACATACGCGCAAACGGACGAATCTGCCTCGTTTCTCGTACAGCTGGAATTTTGTTTACAAAGGAGGAAAGGAGCATCGTCGATCGGACGTTTCTTCGGTTTAGTGGAGCAAGCGAGACCCGATAACGATCGCAATAGTCAACGAATTATAGTCGAAGCTGAAAGCGCTCGTTCCTCTCCGACGAGGAAAGTTTCAAGCAACTGCGAGCCCGTGGATAGCGTTTAGCCAACGACAAACGGCGTGTAGTCGCGTTGAACGAAAGAGAAGAAGAGAAGGACACGCAGTTGCGGTAAATCCGCGTAACGCTTGTAACATTTTGTTGCGACAAAGTACGATAGCATAACGATAAGGAAGCAAAGTGAGAGTCGACGCTTCGTCCGCGTGCCGGTTCGTTTTCGACCAGTTGTTTTAAGCGAGTTTTCGTTCTTTTCGTATCTTTGGTTCAGTTTTGCGCCTGCGGAATACCTTTTCTTAGGTGACTCCGCGTTACATATCGTGACACGGTAGCTTGAGCAACGTTGTTTATCGCTAAAAATTGTCTGCTTTTCGCATACGCGGAAACGTGCTACGATTTTGCAAAAAAGTCATTCGCTGTATCTTTAGAACCAACATCGATCGATAAATAATCGATAACCGTAATCCGTCGAAGGCGACAAAAATCGAATCACCAAGAAAGTAAGATTCTCTGAAATAGCGCTAATAGGGCTAACATCGCGGTAGGGCTTTGATCGAGAACGCGATCTTTCCCGCGTTTCGCGTTTCAACGGAACATTACGATTTGCTAAATATCGAAATAGCGTTTGCCAGCAAACAGTTGGCAGAAAGCGTGGGGGACGACTAATGTCGATCAAATTGTAGTAGTTTCCTTCGGGTTGTCGTTAGTTACGCAACAGCTTCTATGAATAAGACATAACGAACCTCTGACATTAAGGAAGATCGGGGAGAATGTTCGCTTCCTATCTGTTTATGTTTATATTTACATTTATCGCTATTCCAATTCAGATTACGTATGTATACGTATCTCCGTTTGTACGAAGCGATATATGCGTGTTTTTTTGAATCGTTTCCTTTTGCTAATTTTGCTCGTTCTTGCCGTCTTGTTTTTTTTCTATTTCCACTGCGTGACCTTTGTACAAAATTTTTCTGTGTGTTAAAGAGACGCGTTATAAATAAGAATATCGACAAATAACGCTCGCGTTAAGGAATGAGATAATTTGAACGATACTACAACTGCAATATTTTGATGTTCCAGTATAGTCTATTTGGCGTTCTAATTTATGTTCGGTCGCACGTATATGTATATACACGTATAAATTATTATTGTTACATTCGTTAGCTTTTCCTTTTAACGATTAGCCTCGCTACGTTTTTTCTATCTGTATCTCTCTCTCTCTCTTTGAAAGAACGATTTCGGTCTTATCGTTGCATTGTAATTTTTAATGCGTGAATCAACGAAAACGTTATGACTCAGAATATGTATAAAACGAGTGAGTCACCGTCTTTAGCGGAAATTGAGATTTTTCAATGCGACGCTAGAATTCCAAAGGGACGATCTTCACGGTGTCTTCTTTGCCGCAATCTTCGTTATCGATTCGTGGAACAAAGATTTTATGGCGCACACTTTGTTTCCGTATTCTCGTAATGGAATAGGGTCGGAGAAAAGGAAATTCGTACTTACGATTATATTTGCGTCAAGCTTTCGAACGATAGACCTTCTCGATGTGTCGAATTCGAGAAAAAAAAAAAAAAAGAGAAAGAGATCGGCGATGAGCCGACCAAATTACAGAGTATCGCCAAAATATCATCGAGTATAACTCGATGAAACGGTATTTAACGGAGCAAAGTTTGTCGAAATGGCGCGCAGAATCGATAAACTCGTAGCCTGCGATAGGACAGAGTCGCGGTGGTTGTAGTGCTAAATCCTAAAAGTTATAACGGGTCTTAAGTACCTACGCTATCCAAGTGCCTACCTAGCGCATCTAAATGAAAATCTTTTCATCGGCAAAGATAATACTTGGCGTTTTCCGCCGGGCAATACGCTCTGGTAAATTATATACGAGCAAACTGTAGAGCGCAGAGAATGGCTGATATCGTTATTTTCCTTAGGTTTCGTCGCTTTTAATTGCCTTTAATTGCGTTAATTGCGTTTCGATAGACGTTGTTGCGCATTCCTGATATCGGTCGTTAGCAGCCAGCGGATTTTTACGCGGATTCACATTTTTGCCAACACCATCGAACAACCCGCGTGGAAAATACTTTTTGTACGCGCGTTTTCTAAAGCTTCGCGCTTCGAAATCTCCTACGAACGCGTGCAAAGGTTATTACGTCAGGTACTTGGTTGAATTCCATTAAATACCGTTAAACGTCGTTCTTTCGACAAACAAAGGGGAAGAAAAGACGGCGGTTGGGTGAAGAGGCGGTAAAAACAAAGTCGCGTAAGTCTGGCAGACGGAATGTGATCGATCGAGCATCCAGAACGGGCATTTCCGGCTTGGAGGTTGCGACGAGCCAACGAAAGGAGGAAGTTGTACCGGAAGTCGTAATCGACGCGAGAAACCGCTCGAACGATCCTCCAAACAAAAACTGCCTTTCAGGCCTTCGGCAATTAGGACGTTCGAAATCGTCCGCGACCAGTTTATCTCTCGCCGCGTATCTTTGCTATCGAACGTTATATCGTGTAACGAGACAACGCGGAATTGCACACGCTCCAACGTAATACGCCGTTTATCGATTATATCGGGCAAATGGAAATAAAGGAGGAGCGTACTTTGCATCGATAGTACGAACGGTGAAATCTCCGTACGAGAGATGTACGATGCCCGCGTTTTCCTCGTTGCTCCTTCAACGAACAAGCGTACGATTACGCATCGCGAATTACGTTAGAGCAAAGCTGTCGCAATGCGTGTCCAATTTTTACAAGTTTCCACGTTCGTCCGTCTTAACGCGAATAATAGTCGCGGTATTGCTATATGATATCGCTGTTTTATCGCGTTACATCGTAATTACTTGGCTCTCTGGCGATAATTGGCGTGCATCTATCCTGCCGCGTACGATACAGTGGTAGGTAGAGCAACGTCCGGATATATGGCCAGCGGCCGGCACCGTGTTCGCTCGTATATCCGGAGACGCGACATTCCGAGAATTAACCCACGTTATTCGACTGTTGCTCGCGCGTCAAGGGTAAGAGCAGGCAGTGAGAAATAAGATAGCGCGGCAGAGTCCAGGTCATTTCCCTCTCTTACCGCTTCTAACGACGTATTACGTGGAAAACTGTTGGTCGGATAGAGCGGCGTTTCGGTCCTACGAATCTCGACGATCCGACTAAGACCGTCTAATATCGTCGTACCGTAACGGTATAACAAAGTGGAAAAAAAGATTATCTATATTTTAAATTCGATAGCGGGTCGAATCGCGTCGATACGGATCGCAGATAACGTCGAGGCCTGCCTCGAACTACCAGTTTCAGAAACTGGCGTGAGGACAACTCGGTGGCCGTATATCCCCGCCTGTGCGTATGCGCGTCGATATCTCTACTTAAAAATATCTTTTCCGCGGAGATATATCGAGGTTTTGTTATTCGCGCGAACGCGGTCTGCCGACTTTTATGGGCGATTGCGCGTAAGCGAAGATGCATTCTGGTTTCTTTGCTGCTCGCGATGATTGGCAACGTCCGCGCGGCAACTTGTCTTCTTTTTTCTTCTCGCGTGTGTCGTATAAAAAGCGACGAACGACGTAATCGATAGCTTCGCAAAAATAGGTCCACGCGACACGACGTAAAACGTAAAGTCGATCGGAGGGAAAAAAAACGGCGGAGGGGTTTGGGTGTCGTGGCGCTTCCGTTCTTTCCTTTTAACGTCGTTCTCTCTCTCTTTTTTCATTCCACGGCAAGTTTCTTTCTCCGTCTCGCGATCGGTTCGCGTGGTCGGCGCTTCCCGAACGAGAATTTCCTGGTGCGGAACAATGGCGCAACGACCTTCGCGTGCCAATATCTTTGCCTTTCCTTCGCGTCCGCGACACACCTTGTTCCTCGTTATTAATTTCCTGCTTACGTCGAAATCGAGATAGACGTACGAACGAGTCTATCGATAGTATTTTTTAGATCGAATCCAATCCCGGAATCGCGATACTCGAGTCGCGTTAAAAGTCCGCGCGCTCTGACAACGATCGTCGTCGAATGGTCTTTGAAAATGTCGGTGTTTTGTCGATTTCAGGGAAAAGAAGATAGAGAGAGAAACGTGTTATGAAATTGTTGCCGTCGATTCAGCTGCCGCAATTGCCACCGGTCTCGGCCGGCGGTGGAATGACGGGGATGGACTCTCGACTACCACCGGGTATATCTCTGCCTTTTAGCCCGACAGAGCTGCTCTGGCGATACGGACCTGCCATGAATTTTCCACCCACTCATCCGCCACCGAGTCCCTTTCTCGATTTCAAGACGCATCTACCAGCTAGTTTGGGTAAGTTCCCTTCCATTTTCGTCTCCTCTACTCGCGAAACGAACTCCTCTACTCGAATTTTACTCGACGAAAGGACGTTAGCGCGCAGACTGTCGTTATTGTCATCGATCATCCTACTACCGTTATTTCACGTTTCCCTCTTTTTCTAGCTACATATTTCCTAACAACGTCTAATATTAATTATTCATACGTGGTTGTTACGATTCATGAATTAGAAATATCGGTATGTTGACACGTGTGTATTCTTGTATTTAAATACGCATGAATTAGAGACCTTTAACGTCCGAGTACGTGGTCGTTGAATCGCATAATTAAACATACATATAGGAATACGTTCGTCGTTGCAACTGGCATTCGTGAGATTCGCTCGAGCGATTACCGCCGTATTACCGCCGTTATTCGAACTTTGCGCCAAAACCGATCCACGAGCAGAGCCGAAACTTTTCCCACGTATTTCGATTTAGAATTAGAGAATCGTGGAACGATCGCGTCGTGCGGCGTGTATATACTTTCAACGACTTTAGATGCAGTCGAGCGAAATGTATTTTTACGAGCATTTGGAATCACCTCGCTGTGAAATTTCAACTTTTGCCTGTATACTTCGTTATGGATACAACGTTTTGCATTTGCGACAAAGTTATATAATCGCCTGTAATTAGTAACTATATTGGGAACTGGTAGGGACGCTGTAACGCTATTCGATGAAAGTACGAAGAAAAACGTGCCTGTACGTTAGTCGCGGATTAAGTAATATTTTTACGTAACCGACGTCAAATGTATTACGAACGTGTGGGTTTTTTAATCGTTAGGATGTATCTTTTTATTAAAAGCATCGATACGCGCGTATTCGCGTATTCGAGTCGTCGAATATTCGTATCTCTAACTAGGACTAACGATCCTAACGAACGAAAAGATCACAAGCGTAAAAAGAAAAAGAAAAGAAACGGAAAGAGTAGAGAGAAATTAATGAAACGCGTATGTCCGACAGCTTCGGATCCACGGCTATGGTCCCGCGAGGACGTGGCGACGTTCCTGCGATGGGCCGAGCGAGAATTCGACCTACCCCAATTCGACATGGACATGTTCCAAATGAACGGCAAGGCGCTCTGTCTGCTGACAAAGGCGGATTTGGGAGAGAGGTGTCCAGGCGCTGGCGACGTGTTGCACAACGTGCTGTCGATGCTGGCCAGAGACTTTAGCCAGCTTCAAAGATGTCTTCCCAGCAGTCCAGTGACGCCCACGAGACCGTCCGCGTATCCCCTCAGCCCCCATTCGCATCCTCCTACCCCGACCTGGACGGAGAACCCGTACACGGCGAATCTGGCCTCGTTAATGTCGGCGAATTCGGTGACGCTGTCCCCGGCGCCCTCGGTCGACAGTCAAGCAGGTTCGCCGGGGCACACGGAAGGTACTCAGAGTCAGGTTTACAAAAGCGACTCGGACGAGGACAATCAACAGGCGGCGAACGGAAGCCCACCGGCCACCCCGACCGCCCTCGCAGCGCAGAGGTTAAGCGAAGTTTGCGTCAAGGATCAGCCCAGTCCCACGTTGACGCAACCGATGATGCCTCTGACGCCCGGTGCCTTCAGAACGAACCCTGCCAGCGCTGCGAGAGAGTTCTTCCCCAGCGACTCCCCGGAACCCAATACGAGTAAGTGGCGCTTCGCAGATATTAGTTTTAAGGATTTCACGAGGCGAGTAGCCTTCGCCCGTCGGTGTTTCGCGTCGGATCGTACGGTAATTTTTCCAGTCCGGTTGATAGGAGCTGGTGTTCGTACAAGAGGATTCCACGGCGCTTTCTTCGACCTCCGACGATTCCTCGCGACGTCTCCACGACGAGATCCGGTGGTACGCGACTTTGCAGCGATTTCGACGAACGGCGCGTATTTTTCAATTTTCTACTCTCGTCTTGCCTTGTCCCGATAGCGAATGTCGCGTCGTAAATCCTACCCGTTGTACAGCGAGATCGTTGCTTGCCAAACGGGGTAAAAAGCGCGTTCTTCCTACGTTTGCCCGCAGACGTTGCCCCCTTGTTTTGCATTCCAACGGAGAACGAGATACTTGTTCGCGGACGTGCATTTTACGAGGCTCTTGCCTGCACCATACGTATATAGATTGGCAGTTCGGATTAAATTCCATTTCGCGGACTGTCTTTGCACTTGAATTTTGTCTCCCGTCGTCCGCGGATTTGTCGCGGAAAACGCGAGTCGAACGGATTCGATCAGTTCTTATATAAAAAATAACAAAAAACGATCGGTTCGTTCGAGGAAGATGTTGACAATAATTGGATGGCCGTGTATCAAAGTTATTCGTTACTATTTCTTTCAACGCAACACCGCGAGTACCTGACACGCATCTGAAATTAATGTTGCGAAGGTCGTGATCCTAAAAATTCTCTACTAGATAGCAATGAATCCGAGAGAGAGAGAGAGAGAGTTTACAAGTATCAAATAAAGTATTCCTAGACGCATTTAGGTATACGTATACGACTCTATCGAGTACAGATGGTAACAACGATACGAAACTGATGGTATAATTAATAATGATATCGTAGATTAGCCGACTCGAAATGGACGTATAAAAACGCTTGCTTTTTCTTTGTCACGCAGATGGTAGACTTTTGTGGGATTTTCTGCAACAACTTTTGAACGATCCCTCGCAACGGTATACGCACTACATCGCGTGGAAAAGTCGGGAAACGGGGGTATTTAAAATCGTTGACCCCCCTGGACTTGCGAGGCTCTGGGGCATCCAGAAGAATCATCTTTCGATGAATTACGATAAAATGAGCAGAGCCCTCCGATACTATTACCGAGTGAACATCTTGCGAAAGGTCCAAGGAGAACGACACTGTTACCAGTAAGTTGATTCTGTCGTTGTAACAATTTATCTGTCGTATTGCCAACTAACAGCGAGATGATGCAGATATTTATCTAATAAGCTGCGGAAACTGAGACGATTTCGTAAAAGTAGGAATATTTCATCGATTCGAGAGATAAATTTTGAGCAAATACTTGCCAATCAATTTCTCTCGATCCTCGAAAAGTTAGAAAAAAATAACAATATACAAAGTTTATTATATAAATATTCCTCCGTTATTGGATCAAATACTAAGAAAATGTTTATACGATTTTAGTGAAAAGTATTTTCATAGGGCCGCTTGAATATAAAGCTGTCGAACGAAAATATTTATAATACGACGATTACAACTAACGCATAAAAGCTAGTCGAGGAAAAGCGAAACACACAAAGACCTACGTAATTGGAGGTTATTCAAACCCTTAACTGTTTACGTACGTGTTGAAATGAAGTAATTTCCCCTATATATGTACTTAATTGCTTTTGTAATTCAGTCGAGTTAAAGAAGTTGAAACTTTAATATCGAGCTTCCTACGAAATGGAATAGAACTCGCTTATAACAGGTTTCTATGTATTTAGGTTTCTGCGAAATCCAACGGAGCTGAAGAACATAAAGAACATATCTCTGCTGCGTCAGCAAATGCGGATAAAGTCAGAGCCGGAAGAAGAAGGCGGAAGTGGCGTCGAGCCGGAAATCGATATGCCGACGGACCTCTCCATGTCTAGCATGAGTCAGCCATCCAGCGAGCAACAACAACAACAACAACAACAACAACAGCAGCAGCAGCAGCAGCAGCAACAACAGCAGCAACAACCTCTGTCTCTTCACGATCCACCCGCAAAGTATAGAAGTCACGCGTATAATCTCGTGAAAACTAATCAAGAGTCTGAAGAGAAAAAGTGACGCGAGACGTAGCACCGACCCGACTGTGCGTTTTTAACGCCAACCGAGTCAACGGATCTTGTACTATAGAACGTACTCGTTACTTGATCAGAGACAGTCGTGTTTCGCGATGATGCGAAAAAATTGATGTACTTTCTGTTAAATACGCGAGCTATCTCGACAAAGTCGCTCTAGCCTTCGCTTTCGGAATGACACACGCATCTAGGGATATTCGTTGCCGTACAAAGATTGCTAGGTGGTAATTTTTCAGCCACTGTTCGAACAAGAAGAAGCTAGTTAGAAACTGGCAACCGACTTGCGATCGATGTTTACAGGGCAAATACACACGACGAAAGACTGATGAATAAAAATATCGTGCGAGTTACCGCGTCAAGCGACGAAAAGAACGGTGTCCAAAGCAGCGACGACGTTGCCTCGGCCGTGATTAGCTGATCGTGACACGCCTCGAATAGTAAACTGCATCGCGATGCATTTTATTTCGACGTTGGCCGCAACTTCGAACAACGTCCAACCGATTTTGAATCGGGCTCGAGGATGAGCAACGAACAAACAGCGGTCCATCAATTTCCACGCGTTTCAAATAGATAATTGGCTGCGCGGAACCTTGTCAAGGCCGCCAGGAGCCAATTGTCGTGCTACAATTGTGGAGGACGCTTCGGTGAAGCTTGAACTTTTCGCGGATATTCCGCCATCCGTTTTCCATCCTTCGTGTGAACGCACGTGTGCGAGTGTGAAACGTTTCTCGCTTCTACAACGAACTACTTTAGAAATGCTTATAGAGCGTTATCGACGAACGTACAAAACGGTGTTCGGGAAACGATCGAGCTATTTTATTCCAAAGTTCTTCTGTGATGTAAACTTTAACCTGAAAGTAAATTTTCCCGGGGTAAAATATGCTTTTAAGTGCGACTAGAGATTGGATTTATCCAACGTTCTCTTATTTCAAAGGGATTTGAAAAGGATAAGGAATTGTTGCGAGCCAGATCTTGATATTAGTTTAAAATTAACGTAATATAGCTCAAATCGTTTAAAGAGGATCCAATGTTACGCGGTCCGTTTTGTAAATAACTAAATCTGAGAAAATTTCCAAACTAGTTTCCCGTTGCACCGACTCAGTTGTGCCAATCTAATCGTCGGTAATTACGTACATGTACGCGTTTAGTTTAGTGTGCTGTATAAAAGGAGACAAAAAGGGAAAATGCCGCGATCGCCGCTTCAAGTTGTCGAAACGATGCTGAAGATCGCTTGTATCCCTACGTCTATAAGTAGATACTTGTACATAAATTGACGAGCTATTGAGAGAAAACAGAAAAATATAATAAACTCTATGAAAGCAGACAAAAATGTGCGAGAGTTTTAAGGAATTCGGGGCCAGAGTTATATATATACATATATATATGAATATAAATTTATGTATAAATAAATCTCTATATATATTATATATATATATATATATTTTAGTACCGAAGAGAAATTTATAATCGAAATTTCTACGTTCGTTGTCGATGCGATTGTGACTCACATTCCTCGCCAACGGAACCTAGACTTTAAACAAAAAAAGAAAAAAAAAAAAGAAAAAGAAAAAGAGAAAAAAAGAAAAAGTAAAAAAGGTATGTTGTAACTAGGGACCGAAGGCGTGTGTATGGTTAGAAAGTGGTTTTAAGATCGTATTTTTTACAAAAGACTCACATACAAACGGGACAGAAAGTATGGAAAAGTTCTTACGAGTGAATCGATGTACGTTTACGTACGTGTGAATGAGCGAGCGTGTGCAAGAAAGTAAGACAAGGAAAGACAAATAAGTCTGCAAATATGAAAAGTGCATTAGCAAGCAAGAGATTTATATAACTGAAGAAAAAAAAACCGTTGTATTTCGCTATTTGTATACTGTGATCTACGTGAAGTTTTTATCATAAAAAGATGCAAATGCATAACAAACAATCGTGTATATAATTTTCATGAGAGAACAATTTATATTAATGATAAATATATTGAAATACACATATGCAATTTGTGTTCTTAAAGACAACCCAGATTTGGACCGTAACAAAGATTTGATATTCCTATACATGCAATTTAATACACTTAAAGCGTGATTGTATCTAAAAATTATTTATTCGTAAGTACTAGACTTACGTGTCAATCCATAAACGTTATACACACATGGTTACATACGAATGTACATCTCACTCTAAAAATGGACGCTCCAAAAAGAATATACCCTATGCAATGCAAAAATCCATGTCTCGATCTCGATTACGATCTTAGTTCGGATTGTCATATTATCTTTAGAAATATATCATATACATGTGTATCACGCATGTGTTGTAGAATTTTTAAAGAGCATCGATATCCTGGAAAATTCTTTTATCTCCCAGCATTTACAATCCCCTTCCCTTACAATTTGCCAACAAAGTTTATATTTCATTTCTATTTACAAACTTTGTAGAAAATAAAATCTGTACAATTTTAGAAAATTACAAACTGTTTATTGTATAACTCATTACAAGTGGACGAGCAATGTGTAAATAAAGATTTATTTACTCGTTAAGCTAACTTTAACGGTTAGTTTATTATCCTTGGATAATCGAAGGTGAATCGAAACATTATAAAATAATAACGTAAGAAAGATAATATATATATAGCATTATATAGTATAAGTCCGATACATGAAAATATTTAAAGACAAAAATAGGCTATCACTCTTGACTTTATTTATATATATTTTTTACGTACATTTTAGGATATAAAAAAGATTCCTATATAATAATAGTTTAAATCTGGAAGAATATTATATCATCCGCTATTATGCTAGTACTCGACCTCGTAGCACCATCTTCGTCTTTAAATTCCCCGTAACTTATTTTTCCTAAGACGTATACTCTTTGTCCTTTTTTCAAATAATTTAAAACAGTGTCGCGTAAACCTGGTTTAAAAATACATATCCTATGCCAGTCTGTCCGTTGTACGAAATCACCTGAAATTTTGTTCGATATAGTTTTTTTTGAATAAAGTCAAAGTTAAGTAAAATGAACGACTAATAAATTAAACGTGTAAAATTTATCGCATGTATATAATAACTCAAAGTCATTACGATATATAACTTAATTTGTATGTAATTAATTAATTCTACGTACCATTCGTATACTTATAGTTGGTATGCGTGGCAAGAGAAAATATAACAACAGGATGTTCTTCGCTACCTCTTTTTTGCGCTTCACCTCCTGCTCTTCCCAATAGGGAAACTTGATTTATAGCTACGATTAAGCATACGATTAATATTTAACAGCGAGAGAGGGAATAGTATTTATCTGGTAAAATTTTAAATACTTGTTTCTGATAGAAGCAAGATGTAAACAACTACGTTATTGTATTTCTCAAAAGCACGCGATACAAATGATTTATATTGAAATTCACTGTTCAATTAAAGATACATACTTATTTCTGTATCATAGACATCATAATGATGTTTGTATTTTTCATTTACAAAAATATAAAAAGCCGGTACACGAACAAATTCCCCTATCTAAGAAAGTTCTCCTCTAAACTCTTTATAATTCTGATGGTTGTTAGTGTATTGTAAAAAACAGATGAAGTTTTATTACTTACTTTTTTCTAGTTTCATATTCTCGTTAAAATTAGTACATAATTGTCTTTTTTCAATTATTCGGAGATTTTGTACTATTCGCGGGACAACCTAAAAATGACGCAATGTGTTTAATTTCATACGTTTTATACTGTTTTATATGTTATATTGTATCGTATATAACGTAATTTTAGATTACCTGCCGAAACATTTTTACTATTTTGTATAAGATGAAACGATATAACGCACTGAAACGAGAAATAAATCTAATACTCTCCGAAAAACTACGTTTCACACATGTGCATTAATAACACCAGGAGGGAGGGGGCGAGAAATCTATACGATATATACCGGAGTCATCTGCGCTCTAGTGACAGAAATAGGAATTAAAATTTGAAATAACAGCATTTCGCATGGTATCCTATTGGGAGGAGGAAGTAACTGTTGAGAGTTTGTCGTAAATATGGAAAATTTATTATACAACACCGAGTCACTGCTTCAAAATGGTGAGAATTTTAATTTAGTTCATTTTCTATCGATAATCCAGCACAACTTATAGCGATTTATCGTTTTTCAATGTAAATAGAAGGTTATTAATTTTTGATTACGGTCACCCACATCGAGAAGTACAATCACGTATTATCGAAGTGAAATTCTTTCCCTTTTCACTCCCCTTGACCATTTTTCTTCTCTTCTTTTTCCTCGATAATTATCTTTCATTATCATTTTTACTTTTCCGTTTCTTTTCTTCCTTTCCTTTTCTTTGACACTTCGAACTATAGTTTGAATATAGTTCGATAATCGTTCGATTTTACGTTAATAATATTATGTACGATGATAATTTTCTGATATTTTATTTCAATTTTGTTCGTTTGAATCATATTAGCTCAGTCGTGTTTACTTTTATACACGTGTCTCACCGTGTTTTGGTCTGATGTATCGTTTATTTTACTTGGAACGTAACATCGAATTGTTGAAAACATTTTGTTTTGTGTGCACGTTCGACTTACCACTTCTCCCTACTCCTCGCCAACCAAACCAGCAAAGGTAAATCGCGCTACAGCAGGTCATTCCAATATCGAAATTTGTATCGATAACATGTATACTTGTGCGTATTACTCCGCGACAGTTATTATTTTTCTACTTTCAACTTTGGATAGAGGTTAATTGTTCATTATCCTAAACTTTCTAAGAATCAAAAATATGTCTTCTCAGAGCAAATTATATTTCACACATTTTGTTACAGCTTCTCCACAACTTAAGTCCTCCTCTCTGGAAAGGATATAGTAGCAGTGTTTCAACTTTAAGCATGTAAGAGTCTTTGCACATTGCGTTTCAATCGATCTTATTTCTCGAATTTTGCAACAATTATTATTAATTGGAAAGTGAAGTCTGGTTTTAAATTTTTATATTAATGTTCCAAGCGTTATGGTAATTAGAGTTTATTAGAATTTATATTCCTTTTGTTATCGAAGTTGCAAGTTTCGTAGAGTTTCATATTCCGTTACCTCAAATTGTTCGAACAACCTTTGCTGATTTTCAGAACAAATTATAATAATTCGTGTTTTATCAAAGGTGCGTCGCTCCTTCGTCTTCTTGTTGGACCTTGGAAAGGACCTGTGGTGCTTCAAAAGCCCAGAACGTAAATAGACTTTTGTTTTGGACTTTGTTTAATTTTATTCTCTATATTCCGCGACAAATTATTATTAATTAGAAAGTAGGATCTGATTAAAAATGTGACAAGTGTAAACTTTTCATTCTCGTTCGTTATCCTACAAATTTTTTATTCGGTAGAGATCAATCTTTTATTATTTCAAATTTTCACAAAATAATTAACACTGTCATTAAGAACAAATTATAATATTCTATGTTTTGTTACAGATTTCTTCGTGGCATTTACCATGGGATTCGACGATTGTTATTCGATGGCGTTGGTTTCACCAGCTGGATTTGCCGGGCCACAACATCGACGACGACGACGTTCTTCGCATCTAATCGTTAGTCGCATTTGCATTAGTTGCATTTGTTCCACCGGTTACTCAACCATGTCGTAGAATGAAAAGTCCTAATCGACACGGTTGTATTATATAGAATTTTTGACGAGCATAGTGACCGCTGGTATTTACTATATCCGTGAGTAGTAACATTTTCATGTCCGTAATCTATTTATTAGCTCAGGATAGGTTTTCTTGCACATTTTGCGCGTTTTTAGATAAGATGAATGATAATGCTTCAATAATAAGTATAATATTTACATATCACGATATAAAGAATTTGTAGATATAACATACAGTGTTATATATATATATATATATAAATTTGTTACTATGGGTCGCGAAGTGTCTTCTTACGCGTGAAATTTGATACGCGTTAGCGGACAGATAAAATTACGCTTTTATTATCTTCGCATTTCGTATCTCAAAATTTAGTAAAATTCAGCTGAATACCGAACTCGAATAATAAAATTGTTCCATACAATCATATAACAGATTTAAATAAAATCATCGTTAGCATTATAATAATTTTGATCACAATTGAAATTTCCATAGTAACAAAGTCTGAGGGTATCAAACTTCTCTTATACACAGCTTATACATATAGTGTTATATATATATATATATATATATATATATATATATATATATATATATATATATATATATATATATATATATATATATATATATATATATATATATATATATATATATATATATATATATATATATATATATATATATATATATATATATATATATATATATATATATATATATATATATATATATATATATATATATATATATATATATATATATATATATATATATATATATATATATATATATATATATATATATATATATATATATATATATATATATATATATATATATATATATATATATATATATATATATATATATATATATATATATATATATATATATATATATATATATATATATATATATATATATATATATATATATATATATATATATATATATATATATATATATATATATATATATATATATATATATATATATATATATATATATATATATATATATATATATATATATATATATATATATATATATATATATATATATATATATATATATATATATATATATATATATATATATATATATATATATATATATATATATATATATATATATATATATATATATATATATAACACTATATGTATAAGCTGTGTATAAGAGAAGTTTGATACCCTCAGACTTTGTTACTATGGAAATTTCAATTGTGATCAAAATTATTATAATGCTAACGATGATTTTATTTAAATCTGTTATATGATTGTATGGAACAATTTTATTATTCGAGTTCGGTATTCAGCTGAATTTTACTAAATTTTGAGATACGAAATGCGAAGATAATAAAAGCGTAATTTTATCTGTCCGCTAACGCGTATCAAATTTCACGCGTAAGAAGACACTTCGCGACAGTCAGATACTAGAATCGAAACAAGATTTGAATGCTTCCTTGTGTTCAAAAGATTCCTTATGTTTTGATAAAGGAATCGCCCGAGAATATTTCTATTAATATCTCAATTAGAATCATTGATACAAATATTATTTCTCAATTAATAAAGTAAAGTAAAAACATAGAGTCGTTCCATCTTCTGGATAATCCAGAAAATGGAAAGTCATTCTCGTTGCTACTTTGTCACTATGCTCGCTTTTAGTAGTTATCATAGTAGGGCCCTCTCCTTGGCCGACATACGTGTTGCGCGTATATGTGTATAAAATACTCTGATATATTTTCAAATCGATTTATGCGTTCGCTTAAACGCAGGTAATAACCCGAGTGAAAAAAGGGGAATACTAAATTTATTAAACACCGTATACACGTATATATCTGTCGTTAAAGAGTATAATATTTTGTTGAACGTGAAAGCAGAAAGGATGAAATTACGTAATTTTGTTACTAGGGATAAGTAGAAGGGGAATATGTTATGTCATAATTTGACGAAACTTGAGCTTTCCTTTCTAAAGTTGAATTTCCATTACATATATGTGTATATATCAATCTGACTTGCTATATCATACATACACACCGCTATCTTAATTACTTTATCGATCGGATCAGCGAGAAATTGATCCAAATGGTGGATCTTGCCACTTGAATTCCTCTTGATAAGTGACGTAAATGACCCAATAGCAGACATTGAGTAGCCCAAAAGAAGCGGGAAATACGACTCGCGCCACTTTGTCGATGTAAGACACGCTGTTTATGTGTCTTGCGATCTTTTCGCCTTTCTTCCTGCAATTTCCAGCTGCTTCCCTTTGCCTGCGCCTCCTACGATCCAAGTAACAAGAATCCATGATATTCGAAGCTTTACGAGCGATTAAAACATAAAAACAACGACGAATATCGTTTCGGGACGAATGCGGAGTAAGAGATTCCCAAAATACCGAACGAATACGCTCGGCAATACGCGTAATAATATCGTTATTTTTGTTCAATTACAAAGAGATAAACGAGCCGAGTACAGAACGATATATAGATGCGAATCATCCGATTAAATTGGAAAGAACTGTACGGCGAATAAAACTGCCAGCTAGAAAACGATGGAAATATATAAATATAAATGGAGTGGAACCGATAAAGTAAATGAAACGCGATATACATATTTCCTAGGAGTTTCGAGATAGAGAATGAAAACAGCGAAGGAAATTTCTACCTGAACTCCTCGTCGCCAGCGAGGCAATACAGAAATTGTCGCCATTTCGGTATCCACACTTCCGTTTGCGTTTGTCTTTCCATCGTCGATGGTTTCGACGTAACGGAGACTGTCATCGATGATCCTCTTCCGTAAGAGACGGATTCCTAAATAGAAATTTGTTGGAAGGTGTACAGGGTGAGTCAGATTATACGGGAAGAACATCGAGTTCAGTCTAGACGATAAAGAAAAGTGAAATTATCGATGTTCGGTAAATTGGACGTTATATTTACATTAACGTCGTAAACATCGCATAACAAAGAACTTCTCCTTCGAGGTACGTCTATTATTGTCTCTGGGTGAACCGTTTGAGGACTGCGCGACACAATACCGCAAAACCCATCCTGATAGTCGGTTTCGCTCTCATTTTCCAACTCTTCCTCGTCCAAAGGAATTTCTCCGCTACCAACCTGATAGAAGCCAAAGTGTTACAAGTCGAAGAATTAACGAAAAAGTAACGTCGGTTTTGTGAATTTTGTGCAACACAGATCAACGTACGTGCTACGGTTATTATCGTTTTATCTTATTTATTCGTTCGACTTTTACCGAATACGCGCTAAGTATTAAAA